ACACATAAATAAAAATAATAAAAGAGAATCTTTTAAAAAGTAATAAAATATCTTGATCATCGAAAGGACTGAGATTGTTTCTAATATGTTGTTTAAATTAGAAGTCAGGCTACAATGATGTATATATGATTTTTATGAAATGTATGCAGTCATAGTACGTGTAAACATATGTTTCTACATCAGTGCATCAATAACACTCCTGAATACTTCTGATTTATATCATGTATTGTGGTATTGAGGACTGAGGACTAAACGGAGATCCTTGCAAATGCAGGCCAAATGTTCTCTACCTCAGAGCTTCATTTCTAGGCCAGGATTAATGTTTTATTTCATTCCATAAATTCTCCTGCATTGAAAGATTTTTCTATAAAACAACACAAATGACTCACGAGAACAGGAATTCTTGATTTGTAGTTAGAACTGTTGAAAATAGTTCTAAAAATTCAAATTCTAGCCAGGCGATGGTGGAACACACCGTTAATCTCAGCACATAGAAGGCAGAGGCAGGCGGATCTCTGTGAGTTTGAGGCCAGCCTGGTCTACAGAGTGAGTTCCAGGACAGGCTCCAAAGCTACAGAGAAACCCTGTTTGGAACCCACCCCTCCCCGCCAAAAATTCAAATTCTAATAGTTAATATTATCAGACTTTTCTTAACTGCATAGCTACTGAAAAAATAGTATTAAAAAGAGATAGGAGCTGGTGGTGTAGTTTAGTAGTAGAGCAGGTGATTAGGCTATGACAAGTCCTGGGTTAAATTCTCAGCAACGAGACAAACGGGGAGGGGGTGATGGTAGGAGGCATCTTAAAATTGTTATGTTAAAAAAGAACATGTTTTATGGTTCCCTCCAACATAACGGAATGTCGTCCTGAGTCACCCTTGGTTACCAAGAGACTTAGTGTAGTGTTGATATTTGACTATGTCTTGTAAAGCTGTATGACTTCACCCTCCTTTGAAAGCATTTGCATCTGTCATTATATGGAGGACAAGCAAGTTTCTAGAATAAGAATTAGAAAAACTGTTCTCGTGAATGTTCACAGGGAAAGGATGATAGCCAAAAATAGAAGTGAGGGCCTTATCTAGAGAAAGGAGTCTGGTAGAATGGACGAACCAATTATCACCAAGTTCCACAGGTCAATGGCGGCTCTTGCTGCAGGAACCATGTAAGAATTTGAACCTGAACCCTTCTAGTGCAGCCATCTTGACAGTGTACTGTCCTATAGAAAGAGAAAGGCTGGGTGTGTTCCAAGGAACTTACTATCTCAAAAAATTCTGTAATTCTCAGAGGCTCTAAACACCTTTGACTGTGCTATTGTAGAACACAATGTATCATGAAGAATTGGTCTGGTTTGCAAAGGAGACCGGGAGAATCCATAGAGGCCCTGTGAACTAGCATGTAACAGTTTTGATGGGGATGTCTTTATGGAGTCAGCTGGATCAGGAGCACACACTGGGGCGAACTCTGGGAATGAGTGGCAGTCTGGATTAGTTCATCAACAACACCAGACACAGCTGGGGATGGCCAGATATAACTGGAAAGACCCAAGAGGCTTTTATCGCAAATGCCCAATTGCAGCTAATTTTTAGCTTCAGTCTGGAGAAGCTTAAAAACATTAAGGCTGCTCATGATGTCCTTTCTTTTTCTTCCCTTCTTTCCTCCCGCCTTTCTTTCTTCCCTTGTCTTTTACCTTTCTCCCTCTCTCCTTTTTCTCTCTCTTTCTGAAACTCATTTGGGTGTACTGAATTAGTTACTTTTGATAAATATGAGTAGTTACAAAATAGATCTGAAGATTTTGCCCATTCCTTAAATTCATACCCACAGAGTGACCTCTGTGTACTTGGTAACACAAAGACTTGAAATCGCAGTGTCTGTCTTCGGGTGGACTAACGTGGGAAACAGTAACATGGTAAGAGACATTTCCAGGGCAAGCACAGACGTACTGAAGCAGGAAGGTGGGGCACCCAGCCCAGGAGGAAGGGTTGAGTCCAGGCACTGTTCTCTTGAGGACTCACACATCTCAGCGTTACAGTAGCTCTGCCCCCTGGGACAGCAGGGGCCACTCTGTTCACAAGATGGTTGATCTTGGTTGCCAACTTGAATGGATCTGTAATCAACCTAAGTGAGGAATTTTCTTGATCATAATGAAGAAGTTTAAAGTGGGGAGACCCACCATAAAAGTGAGCTTCCTCTTCTGCTGGCAGCCTGAAATAAAGGAGATGGAGGAAGGGTATTTTTCATTTTTAGTTATTTGTTTATTAGTGCTCTTTGGTGGCTTGTCTTCGCTCTTTCTGGCAAGTTCATCTACTTTGTTGTTGCCACTGCTGAATCCTTTGATGATATTAGGACCCAAATTTAGTCTCCCGGTGGCTCTTAGGAATTCTTCGTGTGTACCAGATTGAGACATGCGTACTCGAAGACTGAGCAGCTACTGTGTTTTCAGCCTTTTTCAGACCACTGAGACTACCTAGACCTTACTATAACACAGGGTGACAAAGTGCAAAGAGACTAAACAAAAGAAAAGAGGCTTTAGACTTTGGGGAGGAGGGTAGCAAGGGCAGATTGTAGGACGATGACCAGCAAATGCATGGTAAATAAAGGCATTAAGTAAAGTCTGTTATACAGGGAAACTCTGCTCTCTGCTTTCTGGTATGGGAAAACAATAGTACCAAGGAACCCGGGGTTCCCTTTGGAGTCTTAGTTTATTTAACAGAATAATTTAGAATTAGAGTTTGTTTGCAATGAAACACCATGACCCAAAAGCAAGTTGGGGCGGAAAGGGCTTATTTGGTTTACACTTCCACATCACTGTTCATCATCAAAGGAGGTCAGGACAGGAACTTCAACAGGGCAGGGACCTGGAGGCAGGAACTGATGCAGAACTGTGGAGCGCTGCTGCTTACTGACTTGCTCAACCTACTTTCTTATAGAACCCAGGACCACCAGCCCAGGGGGGTCCTCACCCACAATGGGCTGGGCCCTCTCCCATCGTCCATGAATTAAGAAAATACCTTACAGCTGAATCGTATGGAAGCATTATCTCAAGGAGGTTCCTCCTTTCAGATAACTCTAGTTTGTGTGCCAAGCTGACATAAGACTAGCCACCAGAGTCTGAGAGAAAAACAACCAGAGCAGGGAAGCTGTAGATCCTGGCTGATGTTGGGAAGAGCGAAGCTGAGAGAAATCATGCTTTTTAAATTTGGCATGGAGGTCAAAGAAACAGTGGGAAAGGCCAAAGAGTCAGAGAGCATGCTTAGACCTTGGCCAGTAACTGAAAAATAGATAAAAGGAAAAGCACGCTTAGTGCCTGCCCTTGAATCTGAGTTCACAGGGCATCCTAGTCCAGGCTCTTTTTGTTTTTGTTTTTTAAATTCTTCTCTCATACAATATACCCCAACCACAGTTTCCCCTCCCCTCTACTCCTCCCAGTTTCCTCCCCCCTCTCTTAGATAGGGTTTCTGTTACTCTGAAGAGACACCATAATCACAACAACTCTTATAAAGAAACATTTAATTGAGGCTGGCTTACAGTTCAGAGGTTTAGTCCATTATCATCAGGACATGAAGCATGGTGGCACACAGACAGACATGGTACTCTAATATGTATATATTCCATACTTTCTTCATCCATTCTTCCATTGAAGGGCATCTAGGTTGTTTCCAGGTTCTGGCTATTACAAACAATGCTGCTATGAACATAGTAGAGCAAGATCAATGGCAATGGGTTTTTGATCCTACTGCATGTACTGGCTTTGTGGGAGCCTAGGCAGTTTGGATGCTCACCTTACTAGACCTGGATGGAGGTGGGTGGTCCTTGGACTTCCCACAGGGCAGGGAACCCTGATAGCTCTATGGGCTGACGAGGGAGGGGGAATTGATTGGGGGAGGGGGAGGGAAATGGGAGGCGGTGGTGGCAGGGAAGAGACAGAAATCTTTAATAAATAAATAAATTAAAAAAAAGAAGTTCACCTGATAACCAAAGTTCAGTGATATCAAGACAACCAGACACAAGACTAGAATGCCACACCACCCACTGGACAGTATTTAAGCAGAGACCAAGAGCAATGCTCTGCTCTGCATATTTGGAGACACCCCACCTTGATTTGCCCTGCGGCTGGAGAGTCTCCCCCCAGGATCCTAACCCGCGAATCAGAGACATTCTGCTAGAGATTGGACCTTACCTTCAGCTAAGACCCACAGGTGAGCAGATTTGGGGAGATAAGCTTAGGACCGTAGTTAGGAATTTGGAATATGAACCTTGCGTGATGACCCTCAGCATGATAAAATATAACTTGCTGTATCAACTATGTTTAACTGCTTGCTTGCAACAACACCCAGGCCCAAACCAATCAACCTCCACCACCAAAACCAAACCCTCAAACGCCACCATTTGTCCCTAGCTGGGAAAAGCCAGTTGTAGTTTGTAAAAAGGCAAAAAGTATTCCTATCCTACTTTTTAACTTTTTAAAATTGCTTCCGCTTCTATTTTACTCAGATACAGGGGAACCTGTTGTGCAAAACTCAGTAGATGATTTCCAATTATCGAGTTATTCCGACTTGTAGCTATTAAACTGCTGTTTAAAAAAAAAAATTCAGACTGCGTCCCAATTTGGTTTTTCTTCCCTCCTCCTTCTTTCTTTCTTTTTTTTGGGGGGTGGGGTTAAAGCAAACTAAATAAAGCAACTCTTTATATTGGCGTACAAGACCTTGTACATTTCGCTCTTCCACATATTTTGCAATCAGAACTGTGTTTTCAAAGCTCCCGGTTAAACCAAACACTCGGGTTCTCAAGAGACAACAGGCCAAGGAATGCTTTCAGCCGGTCCCAATCTCGCCCCTCGAAGCGTGGGACGGGAAGGGCCGCGCCGCAGGAAATCACGGAGGGCTGCCAAAGGTCGGAGCCCAGCGTGGCCCCGGGGACGGCCCCGCCTCCCGAGCCGGGGCCCCAATCCGGGTTCCCGCGCCCCGCCGGGTCGGCCCCTTCCGGCTCCTCCCAAAGCGGCGGGCGCCGGGGATGCTGCGCCTTGCGGGGCTCCGCACCTCCGCAGGCCTGGCCGCCGCGGCCAGGGTCCCCGCCGCCCCGCGCCCCCCGGGCCTCAGCCTTCGTCTCCTCCGCGCCGCGACCGTGGAGCGCCCCGCTGCGGGTGAGAGCGAGCGCACCGCCCTGCGCGCCCCGGGCCGCCTCTGCCGTGGGGCGGGCTTGCCACCCTGCTCCGCCTCCCAGGCCTCCCGCTGCCCCACGCCCCTCGCGTTCCTCCCCTCCTGCAGCAGACTCTGTGCTGACCCTGAAGCCCGGTGCACTCCCGTGGTCAGGGTGCTGTTCTTGCCCGGCTGCGTCTGGATGCACCTCCCCACACCGCGGGTGGCGAGGGGTGTGATCCCACGAGTTGTAGGTTTTTTGTTTTTGTTTTTTATGTCTTCGGATCTCGTGACCCATGACCCAAAGTTTTTGCAACGCATCCCTTCCTACTGGGTTGGAGCAGTAAACAAAACCAAGGGGGAAAAAAACCCCAAAATATTCATTTTATTTTTTATGGCAAATAGAAATGTCTGAACACCATCTTGTATCATTTAGGGTTTTATTCGAGGTTTGGAAACGAGCTCTTTAAAGCTAGCACCAATCTACTGGCGCCCAGAATGGACTTCAGCTTGGCTCAGTTTTTGCTATGTGCTGAATTTGGGTAGGAATTAGGGGGAAAAAAGGTGCTCATCAAGATCGTTATATCCTAAACGTATACAAGGCATACGAATATTAAAATACGTTGTACATGGTAAATATGTAAATATAAATTAGGTAAATAGTGTAAATGTGTTTATAACTTTCATGTGAGTGGAAAGATCCAAAGTGTCGCTGCTTGAGATGATTTTTTTTTAATGAGCTGCAGGGGCGTGGTTAATAGGGCAGATACGGAAGGAGGGAGGACTCTTCCCGCCCATTTACACAGTGTGGCTTGGCTGTTTAGGATGCTGTTAGCATGGCTTATGTCTTTTCCATATAGTAACAAAGCTTAAAGTGCTTGTCGAAGTACCTTCCTGCACTTTAAGCTTTGTTACTGCTTTGGCAATTTGCACTGCTTTGGCAATTTCTCCTTAATCATTTAGGTTGTTTCCTTTTCGTGATGAGGATGGGGAAGCTTGAAGTTTAAACATTTCTGGAGACCTGCTATGCTGCTGCTCTTAGCTAAATCGGAGTAGCTAGCCCACAACGAAAGCAGGCCCTTTCTATAGCTATTTAGCTCGGGGATTAGAAGAGAGCCTTGCTTACTGGGGCTGGGTATCATTGTTGAGCTATGAAGCCTGTTTTGTATGGCTTAGGCAGTCTGTCTTATGTTTTCTGTCCGCCTGACTTTGATGATCCCATTGGCTGAAGTGGACCTATGAGTTGAATATTTGAGCGTAGGTGTATGGTTTTAGGAGACACTTTAAATATACATGTTCATGGTTTTTCTTATAAAAGAAATATTCAATTTAAAATTTTGTACAGCAGTTGGGAAGTGTTTAGCATTCAGAAGTACTTTTCAGCCATTGATCTTCTTTTTTCTAACTGTAAATCTTGAGAGCATGCAGTTTTCCCTCTGCTGTTTAATTAATCTTCTGTTTGTTTTTGGAATGCGGGGAGCAAACCTGGGGCTTTGTGCACACGAAGTCTCCAAGAGCCAGACCCTTCACCACGTATTTTTTTGTTCTGTTTTGTAAGATTTATTTATTTATACAGTGTTCTGCCTGCATGTAGCCTGCAGGCTAGATGAGGGTACCAGATCTCATTATAGATGGTTGTGAGCCACCATGTGGTTGCTGGGAATTGAACTCAGGACCTTTGGAAGAGCCGCCAATGCTCTTAACCTCTGAGCCAGCTCAGCAGCTCCCATATATCTGTTTTTTTTTTTTTGTTTGGTTTTTGTTTTTTTTTCGAGTCACCTTTCCCCTGTTGTTACACTTGCCCCTCATAACTGTTACTGTTGGTCACCAGAGTCTCCAGAATGAGCACGCAGTGTTTCTCTCCTTGACATTTATGTTGCCCCCCTCCCCTGCCCTTGACTTTTTTCTTCAAGCAAGGTTGTGAGGAGTCTTATTTGAGTGTATATGATGGAAACCCAGATTTTCAACCCTCTTCTTGCCCCTGATCTATTGACACATTGCTTTCTGAAAGATCTGCCTCAGTTTACAGTGCTGCAGCCGGTATATGATAAGGGCACAGGGCATTGTTGATTCTGGAAATTGTGGGTCATGTGACAGAGTCACTTGATCCAGACGGCAGTTCTTGAACCTATGTCCTTCTGGGCAAGTTTCTAAACCATCTGCTGGTGTAAGAATAGTCTTCCCTGATAGCATAATTGTATAAATTAAGTGAGTTACTTCCCAAAATGCTTCTAATTGAGTGTGCCTGGCCTAAAGTTCCTGTTTGAATGTTGGTTAGTATTAGTAATGCTAGTTTCCAGTTTCGATTCTTGTTTGTTATTAGTGTAACATTTATCCCTGTGGTTGCTTGGATTTGTGCAAAAAAAGATAAATTTTGTTTTAATTAATGACATATTAAATTTTGGGTGACTTTTTAAAATGTTTTGTGCCGTTTAGCTCAGGCTAGGACAGCCCATCCTCCTGCCTTTGCCCCACCAAGTTCTGGGGTTGCATGTATGACTCAACATGCCTGTCCTAGGTGACTTCATTTATTTATTTACTTTGTAGAGTTGAATCTCAGCCTGGTACACGGCAAACAAGGACTGTCCCATGGTGGTATATCCCAAGCTTCATTAACTTTTAATTTGAGACAGAAATCTCACTAAGTTAGTTGTATAGAGTTCTTTTGAATTTACAGTCCTCTCTCAGCCCCCCAAATACCTGGGGTTTTATATATATGTACCAAGCCCAGCATATTTAAGCAACATCATAGCTGTCAAAACAATGAATTTATTGTTTACATGCTTATGGACCAACTGTTTTAAGGCAGTTTTTTTTCCAAAGCAATTTTTGCAGTTGTAAAGAAAAATAAGTCATAACAGTTGCAGAAATATAGATGCAACTGGAAATTTTAATTATCTTATGAGAAATAAACAAGACTCAGAAAAATACCTGTATGTTTTCTCTCATGTGTGGGTGCTGAATTAAAATTATATATGTAGATATATGTATGTATTTATATATGTGTGCTTGTAGGTCATGGAATTAGAGAGAGGGTTGTGATGGGGAGGAAGGGATTCTAAAGGTGGTAGACAGTACAGACTAATGAAACCTATGTAACAGGAAAGAGAAGGGGCTAACTGGAGGAAGATGGGGAAGCAGCTGGAGGTGGGCAGGGTGAACCACTATGAGCAAAGGACAACAATACCTGTGGATGAAGATGCCATAGTAGAACCCAATAATTTGCTAACCCCAAAATTAAAGCTATAATTCCAGTGTCATAAAGAATAAAAGAAAAGAAAAAAAGAGTTATAGGTGACACTCTTTTTTTGGAAATAACATTGTGGTTTTTTTTTTTAAATGATGACAAGTAGGTGTGTATTGTTGTGTACCACTGTAATTCCTAAGAGGCCGAGGTGGGGAAATTCAAGTTCAAGATCATCCTTAGCTACATGGTGAATTTGGGGCCAGCTTAGAGTTTAGGAGACTTTGTCTCAAAAAATGCAAAACCAAAACCAAGAAAGCGAACGTACACACAGACAAAAGATAGAGAATGCTATAGAGTAAATCATATTATGTCTCCTTTTTTTTTTTTTTCTTGTATTGATTAGTTCCTAGGTTTGGTTTTGCTGTGTGGGATTGAACCCAGGGCCAGGCGTGTTAGGCAAGCTGCATCCCCCACCCCCATTTCTTAGTGTTTATTTTTGTGCCCTTTATTCATTCTGTGAAAATGAGGAAGCCTGCCATGTTCACAGGCTGCCGTTAAATACCATTGTTTTTCATGGGTATCAAGATGGCTGCTCTACAGTGGATTAGGAACCACTCCCAGGTGTGTACTTTGTGCAGTTGTTCAGTAAAAATTCGTAGGGTACCTGCGGCGAGCTGGCTCCGTGCTCGGAGTGGAAGAATCAAAGGGGCACTGAAGGAACAGAAGACCATGTTTTCTGATAATTGTTGGAAGTACCCACTTTCACCAAGTGTCCTGATTAAAGCGGTAGGTTGTTTCATCACTTGGGTTTAGAATCTCAAGGAGAGGACATACAAGTGGAGAGCAATAGAGTCATGTCCTTCTTGTGTGGCCAAAGGGATCTCTAGGTTCCTGGAAGGAAACTGGATTGCTGGCACCCTTAGTGGTCTTTTTACTTTGTGATTGATCATACCTTATTGAAATCCATCATTTAGAGGAGGATCAAGGGATAGAAAAAGTGAGAGTTTTGGCAGTGGCTTTCTAACTTCCCTTGCACTGTAGAATCACCCAGAAGCTTTTAAAGAATCGTGGAGGCTGACTTGGTCTACTCCGCTGTAGACCTGGTCTGATTGGCTTGGGGTGGGATCCAGATCCTGATGGGTTTGGGGCTGCTGTGAGAGTCTTCTTTGGCTTCATCAAGTGACTCCCTTAGCACTTGCTTTGCTTGCTTGGTGGAGATGCTTAATTGATCTTACGAGATACTAAAAATTAAACCCGATTAAGGACTTCTTAAAGAATGACTTAATTCACCATGCTATTTTAATTATTCTCTTCGTTTTTAGAATGTATGACAACCCAGAAGCCAGTTTCCTCTGTTTTGTATATTGCCAAGAATCAGTGCTGTAAGTGTTCATTGTCAAGCGGCAAATACTGTAAGGGGAAAATAGGCCTTAAAATATACCTGGCCTGCTGAACATCATTGCTTATCAACACAGTCCCCTCTAGAGTATTGGGTCTTTTATCTCAAGATCATGGGGCTACCTGGAAGTTGGGACTCCTTCCAACATCACAAGAGGGGACCATGCCTCATGTGCCTAGTCTGGGAAGAGTCAACACCTAAAATTTGAACATTTCTAATGAATGTTGACTGCTTTCCCGAATAGCTGTCAGGAAGGAAAGTTGAACAGAGAAAACAAGATTCTAACCACATCCCTCAGACTCTGTGGGTTCTGGAGACTGAACCCACTCTACACCCTGCCTCCTTGTCTCTGTGATCCTGAACCCACCCCATGCCCTGCCTCCTTGTCTCTGCGATCCTGAATCCATTCCACATCCTGC